TAAAGTGCAACTATTTTAATTGAATTCTTTAAATTCTTTTTTGATTTAATTATTTTCTTTATCATTTTTGTCATCTGTCCTACAAATAATTAAATACAAATACTTTATGAAATTAACTTTTTCTTAAAAAAGATAAATGAAAATGTTTTGTAATTAAATATGTGTTTTATCGAGTGGATTTTTAAGTTCGTCAAAAAATTTTTTAAGGTACTTTTTTAAAAACATATTAAACCCTAAATTATTGTTAATATATATAATGAAAAATAAAATTAATTTTTAATTTTAAATATTAAATATAATAAAATTTTCGGGTATCACTGAAAATGTTATCAAAAACCAATGAAACATAAAGTAAATATTTAAACAATTTTTTTATGTATTTATATAAAAAAAAATATAAAAAATATGGCCTTCTACAAAAATATTAACTAAACAATATAACAAACTGGTCTCAAATAATAATAACCCACCTTTTTAAAATCTTACGACATATTAAGTGAACACAACGATTAATTTTGTTGAAATCCAATATCTGTCGATAAGCTTTAGTAAAATTTTAAACAAATGCGTTTCCAATAGCGTTCTTATAACTCATTTAAGTTAAACCCAAATAAAATATAATTATTTTGATGTTATAATGATGTAATTGATTTTTTAGCTATAATTTTATTAAAATAAATGTAAATGATATTTTCGCTTTTACTAGAACGTAGTTAAGCCAATTCATTAATTTAATTATTTTTATTTAATGCAAGTCAATTACATACATAAAAAACATATTTTCGATTTATCATATAATAAATTAGACAAGAAAAGCAAAACTTCTTACAACGAACTTCAACGTTTTTAAAACTCTGTTAAACTTTTTGTTATTTATTTTGTGAACAACGTAGCGTATGAGTAACGAAATTAAGACGAATTTATCGTACTAAAAAAATCGTAAATGATTTTTACAAAAACTAAAATTTTAATCAAAATAAGCATAAATAGCAATAGCAATATAAATAGCAAATTATATAAACGATAAATTAAATATTAAATAAATATTAAATATTAAATATTAACCAAATAAGCAAGAATAGTTATATGTAATTATATAAATAATTAACTCAAAATAAATAATTAATAATTTTGCTTTAACCCACTTTAATGTAACAATTGTTTATAAGCTGAAACCCCTTTAAATTAAATTGCTTTTCATATGACGTCATAATTCCAACAACCAATCGGAGAGAATGTTGAAATTTTTATTTGCGCTTTGTGGTGAATTTTGTGTTAATACCGTGAATTGGAAATGCTTTCTACTCTAATATAGTGAAATCTCCACAATTTTATCTTAAACATTTCCTAGAAAAAAATTTTTTTATTATTATTATTAGTTTCGACAGCAACAAATTTGTTGTCAACATCAAAAGAAGCAACAGTTTTTTCTCTCTTTATTTGTGTTAAACACGGAATTTAACACAACACGAAGCGCTAAAATTGGTGGGCGCCTTACTTTTGGTTGTTCGTTGTGTTGTGGGTGGCTGCTGTTAATGTGCTCCGAATGTTGTTGGTGGAGTTTGCGTTTTGACTGTTATCAACATTCTGGTTCAGAATATAAGTACACATTAGTTCCAACAAACAACTTCAAAAGTTAACCGACATTTGTACTGTGAACACAATATTCGTTGCAGGATAACAAGCAACAAGTCAAAAGGATAAAATTCAAAACATTAGAAATTTAGTGAAAGTAATAAAACATTTTGTAAATGATTGTTTTTGAGTGTTGTTGAATAAAACATTTTAAAATTATATTTAACTTATTATAAAAGTTTTTAATTTTTGTGTTACAGCAAAAAATACAACAAATTTATGTAAGTAAAATTGAAATTTTTAAAACTAATTCTTTTATATTTCATATTTATAAATAATTAATTTTGTTTAATAAGAAATGTACATTTATAAAAATATATTTCTATTTAATGTTTTTATTTTTTAAACGGCTAATTGATCAATAAATTGAATTAAAACAATAAATTAATAAAATAATACTTCTATATAAATTTAATATTTATTATTTCTAAACTAAATGATCACATATAATTTATATATGATTTTTATATATAAAAATTAATATTATTGACAAAGAAATAATATAAATAATTAGTCAAAAATTAAATTGTAAATAATAATTTTGAAAAGTTTAAAAAATTTTTGTTTGTTTTGACGATATTTATTATTATTTACATCTCAATATGGTAAAAATTATTCTCCTTTAAGCTTTTTCTAATTTTTTTTAAATAATTAACTAAATAAAGTAATTTGCTTACTTTAAAAAAATTAATTGTTATATAAATCAAAATATGATAAACATTATTCTTATAAAAGGTTTTTTTATTTTTAATTGTCTTCATAAGAATATATAAATGTCTTAAAAATCTCAAATTTTAAGACAAAATTGTAAAGTGACAAAATATTTTATTTTACCGTAATATTTTGCATTTGGGAGTTTAATAGAATGCAAAAATTTAAGAATTTAAAAAACCTTTAACCAAGATATAGTTCAAATATTCCACAAATTTTTTTAGAACAGCGAATTAAAATCAGATTTCATATTGTATGTGTATATCAGTTACTCTAAATACTTTTAAAGCCTTTTTACTTCATTCAAACTTCTTCTATTCAAATCTTGAAATAAAAGTATATTTCGCCAACTTTCTTTTTATTTTCAATTAAAAATAAAAGAAATTAAAGGAAGTTTTCAAGCTTAAAATAGAAATTTGTCATCAATTTCTTTTAACATTGATTTTTATTTACTATTATTTAAGGTTTTTTTAATATAGTATGTACTTGATATTGTTATATTGTTATATAGCTTACAATTATACAATTGTAAAATATTTATAGTACATATTTAATAAATTTGACTAAATTTATAATTTTTATTCCCATAAAGTTCTATAATTGGTAGTACATAAAAATATTATGTATTCGCATAATATTTACAATTTATATTCATATATCGTTTAAGCTAAGAGTACATACTTTAACTTTTTCTACTTAATTTTACGTTATCTAAAATCAAATTTTTATGTTTGTTTGAAGAATAAAACTCTAAACAATATAATACAAAGAAAAGGTTTAGCCTGTTAATGAGAAAACTTGGAGGAATAATAACTTGTTAAAGTGGACTTAAAGAATATATACCTAATTAGATGACATCGACAATTGATATTTCGACTTAAATAACTATTGCAAAAACAAATTTTTTTTTGCTTTTATCGCTGGGGTCTAGTTGGTACAAGGAACTACTTATAAGAAAAGTATTTTTAGGTGATAAAATTACAAAACTATTTTGATATAGAGATGGTGTTACACCAATACCATTTTTACATACAGTCGGTCTTTTGCCATTTCCATCTCGTCAATAGTTTCATTTCGAATGAATATGTAATTTACATTTATTTGAAATAAAATTTATAAGTTATTTATATTCTCTTTGATTCTTTTTATCTATTATAGTAGAAAATTATTGCAATGATCCCAGATTGTCGGGATCTCGCAATGAACAATCTGTGCCGTTACAATTTTTAATATAAGAAATCAAACCAAAAGTTAAATCTGCATAAAATGTTTGTAAAAAAATAATAAAAACAGTTAATTTGCAAATCAATTTTAAAAAAATATGATCTCCTAGTAAAATAGTCCTTTACTAAAATAAAAAAATTAATCTCTATCTTTGAGCCCATATAAACTTAGCCCAGTTTTCGAAATGTTACCGGATGAATTCCAAAAATCTAATTTATAAATTCAAAAAGTTGGACAAATAAATATTTCAGAATTAAGCAAAATTTGTTCTGCCAAATTGATCTCAGTGTCATCACATATTCATAAAAATTAAAAAAAATGGTTTTCTATTTTTCACAGGGATAATAAATAAAAAAGGTTTTTGGGCTAACTTCAGAGTTTTATCCGACCTTTCGGCAATTATAAGAGAGTTATCTAAAAACAAACTAGATCTAAATATTTGAATAAAGAAATGAGATATAAAGATGATAGCATTGTTTCTTGTTGCAAAAGGCATGTCAAATGACACCGGTCTATAAGAGTTACACGATTAAGGAGGAATATCTAATTTTTACGTTATCTATGCTTTAATGGCAGGGTATTCGCAGAAACAGACAACTTACATCATACAGAGAATTCTTGTACTCAGATATGGATAGCTTGAAAGTACATTTATATACTTTTTTATGTAATTTTTTTTTTTTTGTTATTTCATTATTTTTTATTAAATTTGTTAAATAAAATACTGTTTCAAAATATATAAAATGATATTTATTTTTGTTTTATGCATATTTACAAGTACTACGAGTATTTGTACTATTCTAATTGTTCATTTTATTTACTAACTCATGTTTTTGTTTCTAATTTTATTATATAAAAATATATTTTTTCACTATTATAAATTAATTGAATTTTATTAATGTTATTTAGTAGTAAAAAAACATATTGAAAAGAAGTGATATACATTTTTGTTTTCCAACTTGAATATAAATATCGCGCATAAAAATTTGATACGTAAAATAATTAATCGAAATAATAAATATTATCGAAACCATACCGAAAACTGAAGATATTCTCAAAAATGGTCTTAGGAAAATCAGGCTTTTACTCCATTTTCTTATAAAACTTCTCTGCATGTCATTTTGTAATTAGGTTGCAATCTGATATATTTTTCTTATAAATATTCTGTTATATATTTTGTGCAAAAAGTATCTATCAATATTTGACCTCATGCAGGACAATTTGTTAGCCAAACAAACGGAGCTTCTATGACATTTTCCTATGAAAATTTTTCTAAGGCTTTAATGGTATCAATTATGTATGTTTGTTATACATTGTGCAAATATTAAATTTCTTAGGTAATGTAACATTTAAGAAATATAAGGACGATAAATAACTCAAAATTATTGCCAAACGAAGAAAATTTATTGTTTGTCTTTCATTTCGTTAAAATGACAGATAAACAACAGAAATATCCTCGTATTGTCAAGAAGTAAAATTAAAAATTCTTGTTGGTTAAAGAAGCTATCATTGCATTAGCCTACGGGTCCATGTTTAATAAACATTACCAGTTGAAGACATTTTGGGTCTGATTTCTTGTTAATAATTTTCCAAGAAGTATACAATACATTTTGCTCTTTAATAAAAAATTTCTTTTAAATTAAAACAACTTTATGTGTTATTTTAAAATAGAAAAATTTCAAATTGGTTAATGTGATAATAAATAAATTGGTTGAAGTCAATTATTTTCTCATTTTATATTGCCTGTAGTCAAACAGTTTAATATGCAATATACATTTTTGGCTTATTGTTTTGCGGTTGATAACATTTGGAGTTGTGAGTAATTAACTTCATTATGAACTTGTTCATTATTAACTTCATAGCTCATCGAAATATATAGAAAAGCTTTGCGTATTTTTATATAATTTATTATTTCTATAAATTTTAAAAGAAATTTTCAATACATATCTACATTATGTTCAAAAGAAAATGAACTATTGTCATTACTCCTCTTTAAAAAAATTATACTTAGGACTTTTTTTATTAATTTTATATTTATTTATTTATTTATAAAGAGGTTTTTTCAAACACTAATGAACTACAACAACAAAAATTCATTTTTATATTATTTTAATTAATTGAATTTTTGGCTGACCACACAATTGTTTCGAATATTGCCAAATACCCATCATCAGTGGTCTTGGAAATAATTCTTGTATTCTTAAATAATTTTTTTTTGAGACTGCAAGTACCAGGAATCGAACTCGGGTCCTGTCAAATTTATTTATTTAAAAATTTATATTAAAATTAATTTTAAATTTAACTAAGAATAACGAACTGAACCCATTACATTTTATATATTTGCAATGTATTACATATATCTGTAACAATTAACAAATTTCTGAACTAATATAGATAAATTAATTAAGATTAATAGAAAATTTATCTAAAGATAGTTTGAAATAACAAATTAATCACAATAATTTAACTTAAGAACGTAAATCTAGCCAGTTGCTTGAGATACACCAGTATTACCCAAGAGGCTTATGGTTACAATTATTACCTAATCTATTTAAGCAACTCACACTAGTAACTATTGATTTCATCCTTTATACTAATAATAAATACCTCTGTATGCAATACTTCGTTAGTTACAAGGTATGAGGCTTTACAAGTTATTTTGTGTTTTAAAGAGGTAGTTTTACAGAATCTCTACATTGAGTAGCTAACTATTCTCTATAGCTTTACTCAAATCACTTAGGCTGGTTTAAGTACAATCAAGAAAATAAATTATTTCATTTTTCATGTTGAAGAATTAATTAGAGCCAATCACCTAATGCAGTTTTCTCTTTAATGTCTTTAATGTTAATTCTTTCTTGTTGGGTTGAGCATAAGTTTTTCAAATCGATATTTTATCTAAATATAATTTCCATTCCAAGTTTTTTATCGAAATTAAAACCTAAATTTTTACCTACCCAGTGTTAAGGTGTATTCTTGTTCAATATATAGTTTAATTTTTATATAAAAGTATATATTGAGGAATAAGATTGATATAATATTGATGGAATATTTTGTAATGTGATGTCACACAGTACATGTATATTTGCAGAAAATAATATTAATATATATTTTATTTATTCGTAAATTTAATACACCATTTGGCATTCACAGTACGTCGTTTTTAGCAGCATTTGTAAATTAAATTCCAAGAACCTCCATATATCTTAAGTTAATATTGTAATAGCTGTCAATGCCATTATGCGTATTTTTTTTTAAATTCTTTTAAAAATTATTAATTTAGTTTAAAAACATAATTTATAATGTAATACAATATTTTTGTCATTGAAT